ATTTTCTGTAGATAACAGTTATCTAAAGAGCTCCACAATGCATGCCCTGCAGGAACATAGTCACTAAGTGAGGAAATAAGACATAAATATTATGAAAAGTGGATTAACAATTCAGGACAACAATAGAAATATATTACAAGGTAGTTTTTGAGTAGTTTCCCGGTGAATTTTATTCAAATAATAATTGCTAACTAAAGTAATGGACAAGCCCACTGTAGTCCGAAGTTCATCATTCCAGAGGAAGTCTTCCTCACTCATACTCTTCCTATTCTCCATCCTCTTCCACACCTCTGCTGATTACTTTTTATTCTATCTAGAAGCTCCTTGTAAGGGGTTTACTTTTCCCCCCTCCTGTCCCTAAACATTGGTTCATCATCTCAACCTCTTTCTTTTCCCTTATTACCATGTCCTGCCAGTCTCAACATACCCATTCTAGATCTGACAGACCACCTCCATTACAGTTGCATACTCAAGCTAATGAGCCCTATGGGTAAATTTTATGTAATCTGACAGATCAAAGCAAATGTCTGCTTAAAATTTTCTTATGGCTCCTCTCTGTCTTAAGGAATAAAAGAAGCCTTTTTAAGGGGGTGGGGAAATCACTGTGCATTTATTTTTGATCTGCAGCCTCTTCTGGGAAATCTCTTCTTCCTGGTCAGTCCTCTTGCATCCTCTATTCATGATTTTATCAAATCTTTAATGTGAAATTTCAGCTCTTACCTCAAGATACTATGCATATGTTTACAAATGGGGAGCACCTGATACAAGATTCAGGTTGGGTACCATTGTCAGAGTATTTATTAAATGTTAGTAAAACTTCTTTTCACCTTTTTATATAAAAGTTAAAAAACAGAATCTGCACTCCAGTGGATCATTTTATGTGCCAATATGGTTGCATATGCCCCACACCACTTTGCAGTTTAGACTTATTATTTCCATGGATTTACCCTATATTCATTCTTTATCTTACCATAACCAGGCTTCTTCATCTAATACTTGCCAGCACAACTCTGGTTTAAGGTCATCAATAAACTATCTTACCATAGGAAGAGAAGGGCAGAGTAGTTTGAATACAGAGTCATCTTCTGCCTACTTGCTGGCCTGCCTTCCAGCCTTTCTTCCTTCTTTTCCATTCTTCCTTGAGGAGAAGGAAGAGGATCACAAAAGACCCTGAATAACCAAAGCAGCTTTGAGCAAGAACAATGTGAGAGGCATTTGATTTCATAATATATTGCAAAGCTGCAATAATCAAAACACTTTTTTGCATAAAAACAGACATACAGATTAGTGAAACAGAATAGAAAGCCTGGAAATAAACCCACACATATACAGTCAACTGTACTTTAGCAGGGATGCCAGGAATACACTAGACCCTTACCTCACACCATACACATTCAAAATTGATTAATTACTTAAATGTAAAATCTGAAACAATAACTCTTAGAAGAATATTTAGGGGAAAAGCCTAGGACCTAAATAGGCATTTCTCCAAAGAAGAGAGATAAATGGCCAATAGATGAATGAAAAGTGTTCAGCATCACTAATCTTTAGAAAAATGTAAATCAAAAGCACAGTAAGCACCTCACATGTGTTATAATGGCTATTATAAAAAAAAAAATAACAAGGGCTACTGAGGATGTGTAGAATGGGGAATTTTTGTATGCTGTTAGGAACAATGTAAACTACTATTGTGTAGACATTATAGAAAACAGTAGAGAGGTTCCTCAATAAATTAGAAATAGAATAGAATTACCATTTTTGATCTAGCAATCCCATTTTGGGGTATATAGCTAAAGGAAATAAGATCACTATCTCGAAGAGACATCTGTACTCCCATGTTCATTATCACCATTCACAATAGCCAGGATATAGAAACAAATATCTATCAGCAGATAATTGAACAAAGAAAATGGGGCATGTACATATAATAGAATATTATTCAGCCTTAAAAAAAAATCCTGTCATTTACAACAATAAAGGTGGCTATAGAAGACAGTATAATAAGTTAAATCAGACACAAAAGGACAAACACTTCATGATCCCATGTTTATGAGGAATCTAAAATAGTGACACTTATAGAAGCAATTAAGACAGTAGTGGGGGTGTGGGTGTGAGTTGGGGGAGGTATCTTCCAAGGAACACAGAATTTCAGTTATAAGTTCTGGAGATCTACTGTACACATAGAGCCTGTAGTTAACAATACTGTTTTGTATAATTAAAATTTGCTGAGGGGGTAGATCTTATGTGCTTTTACCACAAAAGAAAAAATTATTTTTAAAAACTTCTTTTTAATAAAGTAGAAGGGAAGTCATTTGGAGATCTTAAGATTTGTTTTAATAGACTTTCCAACCTTGAAAAAAAAGATGTGAACCCCAAATATAAAGAGCATTTGACCAGAAAGATTTATTAATATCTGTAGACATACATGGGCTATTAGCATGCTCATCATTGTTATTTGGTGTTAAATTTTGTTTAGTTCAGCGATCGATAGAGGACTAGATTTTAGATTGTCTTCCCTTTGCCACAAAGCTTTAATTGGGCTTTACAGAGCTCTTAAATAGACCTTGCTTTTGAATCTGCATATCAGGAGGGGGCTGGGAGCCAGAGCCGAGGATGTCATGTCCCAGTGATTAATGATCTCTAGGAAGCTGAAAAGGAGAGAGTAATATACACAGTATTTCTACCCCCTGGAGTAGGAATGCAAACACCATTGTGCAAATCTGTGCATAGTCACTGACTTCCTGGTAGCTGGAGAATTTCATACACTCTTCTACCACAAATAAAACTGTCAGAGAAGTGACAGAGCTCAAAAAGCTGGCCTTCCTTACTTAAAAAGAATAGCTCCAAACACAGTGAGCCAGAAAATTAATTTTGTAGTTGTTTGGGAACCCAGTTGTTTAATAAGAAATGAGAATATGGGAACTTTTCTTGAAAAGCCTAAAACCTCCAAATATTTGTTGATTCCAGCCCTACATGTGGTTTCTTAAATTTCCTGAATTCCTGGAAACTGTTTAAATTTAAACAAATTTAAAGGGGAAACATTTTTTTTGTAATGAAATGCCCTATCTTAAACTTTTCAGTCTGGTCTTTAATAGATTTAGAGAATCAAATTTAGGGGAAAAAAAAATTCTAACATTTCAGAATGGTTTGTATAGTTTTAGAAAGTCACTCTTAGGTAGTCTTTTTTTTTTCCTACACTTTTTTTTTTCCCAGTGAATTTATTGTATTTAATAGCAATTTCCAGATGCTTATTAAATCAGAAATGAACCATTTTAAACTATAAATAAGGTACTACAGAAGCCTGCAAAAAATTTTTAAAAGAAGGTTTGTGGGGAAAGCATTATATTTCAACTACCTTAGATTATTTACAAATAACCAAAATTAGACTTTGTGTAATAGAAATAGGGGTAGATTTTAGTGAGAACACCCAAATAACTTGTATTTTATCAAGAACTGTTTATTTATAGACTGGATAAATTATTTTTTGCTCATATTTCATATTTTAATGCTCTATACATTATTCCTCATTATTCTGCATTGATTGTTTAATTTTCAAACAGATTTCTTACCAATTTTTATTTTTCTATAACATAAAGAGAAAGGAAGTATTTATTCTTGGAGGAATAGAACCACAATTCATGGCAAAGGAAATAAAAACCTTGGTGTTTTTATTTTCCTATTTTTAATAGTGTCACTATAATTTAAATTTTAGACTACGATGATCTAAATTAAGACAGTATCAGATGGTTTAAGCCCTGAACTTGGTTTCCAAGTGGTTAGACTTTTAAATTGCATTTGCAAGAGTTTATTTTTAGTCAGGATGTGGTTATTTTTAGATCTGCTTCTCTGTCACTAGGAAATGTAATGCCTGTCTTTCCATTGTTGTTTATCAGGAAGTTCTGAGGCTCAGGCATTTAAGATCCAGTTAGCATATAATACTACCTCTTCTTTTAGATGAAAATATGAAATAATACCCGAAGGGAAATATGCTCATTGAGAACATGTCTAAGTTTTAAACGGTTAGTGTCATTTCTCTTGTACACTGAGTAACAGAACAAGGTTTTCAGGGAATGCCAAAAATACAAGGTTTGAGTTCCCCCTACTGGTGCATTTCAAGCTCATGTATAACCAAAAGGCCCAGGAGATGGAGATTAGAAATGAGGCTATTTCTAATCTTATCATTTCTGATGAGAGAGAAAAGAAACACCATTTTCCTTTTTTCTGTAAATGTCTTACACAAAATGGGATGACTTAAAAATTGTATTTGTACATCTAGAAAGAACAAAATTTAGTACTACAGTGTTGTCAGTCTATTGTGATAAGCTGCTTATATGCATTTCTTCTTGAATGCTTTATGGTGTAAGCTAAGGAATAATAAAACACCAGTGGAAGTCGGGTGTGGTGGCACACACCTGTAATCCCAATAGCTCAGGAGGCTGAGGCAGGAGGATCTTGAGTTCAAAGCCAGCCTCAACAACTTAGCGAGGTGCTAAAGCAACTCAGTGAGGCCCTGTTTCTAAATAAAATGTATAAAAGAGCTGGGGGTGTGGCTCAGCGGTTAAGCACGCCTGAGTTCAATTCCTGGTACCAAAAAAATAAATTAATTAAATTAAAAAGAAATAAACACCAGTAGATGCACAAAAGGATTTAAAACTGCCCCCTCCCCAAGAAAATGCAAAGCTAGCATTGTTGTCATAATAAATTAAAGGGCTGGCATTAAAGCTCACTTAATCCTATTGTAGCATTTCAGAAAGTGACCTGACATCATTTGATTTTTGTCTATCCATTTTACGTCTGTTCTTCCTAATTTTGTCAAATGTGTATTTCAGACAGTTTTTATTTTCTTTTAGTAAGGTCCAAGTAATATTAATGGCTTATTTTGAAAAAGAAAAATTTTAACTGACTTCTAAAAGTCACCTCTGAACTTATTATTATTATGTTTGCATTGTAAAGGAGTGTTCAATCAAGTTAAAATATTGTATTTTTAAATTGCTTTTCAGCAATGCAGTCAACCTTTTAAGCAATGTTCCGGTCTCTTGTTTGGATGTTCTCATTTGTCCATTAACCCATGAAGAAACAGCCCAAGAGGCAACAACTTTAGATGAACTGCCCAGTGATAAAACAGCTGAGAAAGAAACAGTTTTGAAAAACAATACCATGGAATACAATGGTATGAATATGGAAGCCATTCATGTTTTACTCAATTTTATGGAGAAGAGAATAGACAAGGTAAGGCTGATAGAGTGGAAGCCTTTGAGAAGATGCTTCTAAAGTATGTAAATGTGCCCTACATATAAACAGACCACAGAACATGATTTTTAAATCTAAGCTTTTTTTATATAGCTGACATGTTGCTTAATTTTACTTTAGAAAGCATTTTATTGTAATATAGGATGAATTACTGAAAAGTAATGAATTTATTTGTTTAATGCTGAATATTTGTTTTTGCAACATGTTTATCAAATTTGTAACTATTGCCTGAAAATAAAGGTAAAATTAATTACTCCTTCATGTAGGTACTTTGAAAGTCTCAAAAGTAAAAATCATCCCATCAAAAACTTGATGATATTTTCTGTAATGCCTTTAAAAGACATTTAAAAAAAATTTTTTTTCCAATTTTCTACTTGTGAACTGTTTATTTTCTCTGATCTGCCATTCAGTTTATCAAGTAATTATTTAGTTAAAAGGCAGCAGGGGAGCATAGGTAGGTCACCATAACGTTTGTTTCATTTAAGCACATAGCTTGAGCTGGGGGAACCCTAGAAAATATAGGAAAATCAAGGAAGGATAAAACCAGTCAATAAACATGAAGATAACTGGGGGAAAAAATGGAAATATTGTTAGGAAAAAACTAATGTATCCTGCTCCCCACCACCAAAGAAAGTGATTCATATGCTCATGTTACATGGAGGAAAGGAATACTTTCAGAAACTAAACTAATAGAGCATGTATGGTTTTCTTTGTAGGGAAGCAGCTATAGAGAGGGTCTAACTCCAGTTCTCAGCTTATTAACAGAATGTTCCCGAGCCCATCGAAACATCAGAAAATTTCTCAAAGATCAGGTAACTGCTTAATGCATAATACATCTTAAAGTTAATCTTACTATATAAGTTTTTCTTCTTTTTTTTTTTTTAACACAAAACTAATGAATTCTCACATAATGATTTTCAGAAAATCAGAAAAGTTGGTTTTAATCTTTGGAATCTTCCAATCAGGAAATAAGTGATCTTGCTGGGGATATAGCTCAGTGGTAGAGCACTTGCCTAGTACGTGCAGAACCATGGGTTTGAGCCCCAGTACTGCCAAAAAAGTTAAAAACAAGCGATCTTGTATAATTTTTTGAGTCATTCATTCATTTATCCAACAAATGTTTATTGAGATCTATGTGTTGTTTTATAAGCATTGTTCTAAGTAATGGACAACAGATGAAATCTGTCTAACCCTAACCTTTGTAGAGTTTACCTTACTGTGGGGGATAAAAAGTAGATAAATATATAATGTACTGACAGGAAATGATAAGTGTTCTGCAGAAAGTTTTATAGCAGGGGAAGAGAAAGGGAATATTTAAGGGGAGAAGGGAGAGCCTCTGTGAAGAGATAACTTTTGAGCAGAAAGTTGAATAAGTAAGAAAAATGTCTCTGAGAATGTCTGGAAAAGGAATCTACTAGAGAGAACAAATTCCAAGTCCCTGAGATAAGAGGATGCTTTGGGGGGCTGGGGTTGTAGCTCAGTGGTTGAGCGCTTGCCTCACATGCATGAGGCACTGGGTTCGATCCTTAGCACCACATACATACAAACATACGTAAAATAAAGATATTGTGTCCATCTACAACTAAAAAAATATTTTAAAAGGAAAAAAAGAGGATACTTTGGTATGCTTAAGGAAAAACAAGGCAGCCTGTATGATTAAGCAAAAATACACAAAGGAGAGAGTGGTACATCAAGTAAGAGATAAGCAAGTGCCAGATAACACAGGTTATAAGGACTTTTGATTCTAAGTGAGATGAGATAACATGAGTATTTTGAGAGGAGAAGTGAAGTGATCTCATTTATATTTTAAGATTGCTCTGGCTAGGGTAGACTGTAGAGTAGACCTTATTAGAACCAGGAGACCAGCCCAGAAGAGAACTGATGGTGACAAGTTGGCATGGGGTGAAAGCAGTGAGTTCATATGTTGGGATATGTTTTGAAAGTAGAACTCGTATAATGTGCTGATAGATCAGGATATGTGTTGAGAAAGAAAGAAAAAATAATCAAAGATGACTTTTAAACTTTTTGATTATAGTTTAAATTCTAAGTCTTTGCTTCTAACAGTAACTAAAACTGACCTCTAAAATTCCAGTTTCCAGCACCTCCTCTTGGTGCTTCAATTCAGCTTTCTGTTAACCCCAAGAGGACTGGCAGTCTATTATTCGTTTTACTCCATCACTTAGGCTAGATCTCACCTGTAGCTCTTTACTACAATCTCTGTTTTCCATACATTTTTTTAAAATTATTATTTAGTTGTAGTTATGTACAATACCTTTATTTTATTTATTTTTATGTGGTGCTGAGGATTGAACCCAGGGCCTCGCACGTGCTAGGCGAGCCACTGAGCCACAACCTTAGCCCCTTTCCATACATCTTTAACTAGTATTTCTCATTTCTCTTCAAGTCATACTTACCTGCAAAAATCCAACAAACAGGTTAAATGCAGTCTTCTATTTACTGTGGGCTTCCACTGAGCACTTAAATAGGGTAAAGCAATGTAACCATATGGATTAGTCTGGCCCTAAGTGGCTCACCAGAACATTCCAAGATAATTATTTTATAACTCCTTTTCTTAAATCTCCACCATCTATTCTCTCCACACTCTCATTTGTTGACCTTACTTTCTGTTTCCATAAGAAATTGGCAAAACTTCATTTTTCACCACTGCATCTACTGTCTGTCGTATTTTTAGCATTAATACTTTGTCTCTTCCTCTCTCAGTCTTTGATCCCCACTACTGTCTGTGGCCAGCATCTGTTCTGAATCCATTTCCCTTTTACCTGATGAGCTTTGTTCTATACTTATTCTTTTTCTCCCTTCTTATATTCAACTTTTTTTTTTAATTTTTATTGTTGGTTGTTCAAAACATTACATAGTTCTTGATATATCATATTTCACACTTTGATTCAAGTGGGTTATGAACTTCAACTTTTTTTTTAATGTACTAGATTATTTCTGCCAGCATCCAAACACATCTTCCCTCTTAAAACAACAACAAAAAAAACCTTTATATTAATCCTACTTCTCTATGCCTTCCCATTTCTCTGCTTATCTTTATGCAGTGTTCCTAAAGAGTTTCTATATTCCTCATTTATATTCTTTGTAGTTAACCTTTGATTCTCTCCTGGACCCTCTTTAATTAGGCTTTCATGCTTTCTACTCCAATACAAAAGTGTTTATCAAAGTCAGCAACCCAATATTGCCAAACTAATAGTTTTCAAGTCTTTTCTTTTTATTATCCAATAGCATTTGGTCTAAGTATTCCCTCTTCCTTGTAATTATTTCTTTATGTGGTTTCTAGACACAGTAGAGAACCTCTTCTTTGATGCTTCTCATCCCAACTGTAAATGTTTGAGTGCCCCAAGGCAATACTGCCTTGTCTCATCTCTACTTTCCTGGTGATCTTATTCAGGAGTTTTGATTGGGAGTGTGCTGATGACTCCCAAGTTTTTCTCTCTAGCTGTGATCTATTTCCTAAGCCCCAGACTTACATATTGAACTGAACTGCCCACTCATCTCCTCCCATTGAATATGTAGCAGTTAACTTAAGTTTAACATGTCCCAAACTTTATATGATTTCCTATGTCCCTAACCTAGTCTTCCCCTTCGTTCCACAGTTCAATATATGGTGCTACCATTCACCTCATTATTCATTTATTCATAGAATTTCCCCTAATAAATGAACCAGGTTTATTTTGTCTGTCTGTATTTATGATAAGATTTAGTAAATACTAATACATAGTGCTGATGAAGAGAAATTAGAAAGTTGGGACTGTATGTTTAAGGAATTCACATTCCATTGAAAGAAAAGAAAGCTATAAACACATAAATAATCATCTAAGCAAGATAAACTAATCATTTGTGGTAGTTTCTAAGTTTTATTATTTTAAGACATTCTACCTTGACTAAGAGGGCTTGGTGAAGAATAATACATGAAAATGCTGTATTTTCTCTATTTTATGTTTTTACAAAGATAATCTTGAGATCATCATTCAGGCAAACTGTTTAGATTTTGTTGTCTCTAACTTGAACAACCAAAACCAGCTTCTTTATAGGAAGTCTTGAGCCATGTATAATGTAGATACAAAAGCTCATGAGGCCTACTTTCTGTCCTCAAGAAACACTACAATATAGGAAAGCAGGTGAAATATAACAGGTAATAAGATAAAGATACAAAGTGTATTAATCTGTTTTTCATTACTATAACAAAATATCTAAGGCAGACAACTATATAAAGAAAATTGCTTTACTATTTTGGCTCATGGTTCTGCAGGTCCAAGGTTGAGGGACTACATCTGGCAATGGCCTTCTTGCTAGCAGAATAAGGAGATGTAGGGCATCACTTGGAGAAGATAGAGCACTTGTGTTTGTCTCTTCTCATGTCTCTCCCCCACATCTTCTTGTAAAGCCACCAATATTCAGTTGTGGAGGCTCTACCCTCATGATCTTGTCTAATCCTAATCACTTCTCAAAGGTGCCAACACTAATCACCATATTGGGATTAAGTTTCCACCCTCTTAATGACTCATATGAAAACTTGGAGGATATACTCAAACCATATCAAGACCATTGCATTCTACCCCTGTATCTCAATGTTTAATGCAAAATACAACTTTTCCATCCGCAATAGTCCCAGAGTTTTAACTTATTCTAGCATTAAGTCAAAAGAACAGAGTTTTATCTAAGACTCAAAGTGAGCTTATTTTCCAGCTGTGAGCCTAGAATATCAAAATAAGTTATCTCCTTCCAGCATACAATGGTGGGAGGCCATTGTATACAATGGGATATACCTTCCCATTCCAAAAGGAAAGAATAGGCTAATACAAAGGGTGAATTGCCCCCAAACAAGACCAGAAACCAGCAGGGCAGACCCAAGGGGTTGGTCCCCAAGACCTGAACATTCCCACCCCTACAACTTTGCTGGTCACAGCCTTACAGGACTGCATACTAATGTGGGTGGCTTTCCTGGATGGGTATGACATGTTGCTAGTCACTCTTGTCTATCTAGGATCCTTACCATGGTTCTACTCCCACATATCTACTATGCATCACTCCATTAGGTGCTCCTTGAAAGGGCTCTGACCCTGTAGCATATTTCTGCTTGGCTTCCCTGGCCTTCCTTTGAAATCTCAGTGAAAGCCACCTTGATTCTGTAATTCCTGCATTCTTCATGTCTGCAGAGCCAGTACTATGTAGAAGCCAAAAATCTGTGCCTGGCCTGGGACAGGAGAGGTGGCCTAGAAGATTTGTGAAATGCCCTCAAAGCCTTTTTCAGTTGTCCTGATAGTTAACATTCCTCCTGCTAAACTTTTTAGCAAACATTCCCTTTGCCTGGTCCTCCTTGGCTATACCTTTACATTCTTTTTCTTTGCTCCTTCCTTTGCCAGAGTGTGAATTCTCTAAATCTTTCTACTCTGTTTCCTTTTGCTCCCAGCTCTTGCTGTGAATCTGACTAAAAGCAGCCAGTAATTCCCATGTCACAGCCTGAATGCTTTGTTGTTTTGAAATTTCTAGTCCATCATTATTAATTTCAGCTTTCCCTGAGTCTTGGGGCATGGATGCAATACAAATTCTTTGCAGTGGTGTAACAATAATGACCCTATTTCCAGTTTCTATTCAGATCCTCATTTTTCACCCAAAACTAGTTCCATAGTCTTCTGAGCCCTTATTAGAATAGAATCTCCCATAACTATATGCTTAGAGCGTGCTAGGCATTTTTTTTTTTCCATTCCAGCTGTCTTAACTACTGAGCTACATCCCCAGCCCTTTTTATGTTTTATTTTGAGAAAGGGTCTCACTAAGTTGCTTAGGG